GATGAAGTCTGAAGAAGAAGAAGAAGAAGAAGAAGAAGAAGAAGAAGGGAGTCGAGGAGGAGAGAGAGAGAGAGGGGACTGGCGACGGGAGGGAGGAGAGAACCCCCGGCTCCCGATACCTCAGGCAGCTATGGCCGCCGATCTGCTCAGTCGCCGCTGCTGCTGCTCCGCTCGCTGCCGCTGCTGCGATACTGCTGCTGCGCTGCTCCTCGTGCTCCTGCGCTAAGAATAGCGCTAGCGCTCTGGCACTATACCATAACGCACCGCTAGAGTGCCGGTGGTTCGATCCCTCAGAATGGGGCTGGACCGATCTTTTGTACCGGTGGGGCAGAGGCCGGCCTCAGTGCTGCGAGGCCTGGCTGTGCCCTGAAACGTCGAGATTGACGGTTCAGCCTTAACCGGCGGGCGGCAGCCTCAAGAGCGCCGCCAGGCCCAAAGGTAATGTCGTTTGGGCCTGCCCGTCGGGTCTGGTCCAAGATGTGGCCTTTACGGCCTGCTGTTCCCCAAGTCCGGGCCTTTAGGCCCGACTGTGTCCTCCTGGCCCTAAGTCGGGTCCGGTAGGACCCGTGTGGCATCGAAGATGTAACATATCATCTCAGTCACACGTTGACCTATGCTGAACAGGGCAGCAAGGAGGATAACGAGGAGTTGAGGTCCGAGATTGCAGCAGTAGTAGGGGTAGCTGTGAGAACGAAGCCGAGAAAAAGGAGGTTGGGGAGGTGGGAACTGGGGTGTAGCCTTCCGTGTAGGATAAAATGATTGCAGGGCCCTGTGTTTGCTGGCTTTGACAGAGGGCGGAGCGCCATGATGTCCTTTGGCCACTTCTCAAAAAAATCGCAAGGCAAGAAGATATGTACATAATACATATGGTTTGTAGAGTGAGATTCTAACAGAATCTGCTTTGTCATAATTTTTTGAATTTGAGATGAATCATGAATGTTAAAACTTGGGATTTAATATTTATTTTTGGTAACAAAATGTTGGTAGCATTAATGATTTTCCACAGGGAGTTTTTGCTGTCCTGTTTTACATCTCACGAGAATGCTATTTGGAACACTGATTGGCGTTGCAGGAAGCATTCTCACTCTCCAACAAGGAGCATTGGGAGGTACGGCTGTGACATACAGTTCCTTACCCTCTAATATTTGCCATACGCAGATCCGTGTGTGTGTGTGGGTGTGTGTGCGCGCGTGTGTGTTCGTCCTAATATCTTCTTTTGTTTCTATTCTTTTTGAAAAGACATCGCTTATATGGCCCCTGAATGAGGCACACGCTGGGATAGGGTCGTTCTCTGGTGCTTTTGTCCCCTTCATTTCTCTGTTTCTTTCTCTATTTAGTATTTATTGATTCATTTATTTCTTTCTTTACTTTTTCATTTATTTACTTATGGGTTGTAGACGTTGATGACCTGTTGATGGTAAACAGCACAGATAATAGAAGACGGACTAGACCAGGATATGCAATTGGGTAATCTTCATGGATTGCCCACTAGAGGAGAGGAGACCCTGTCAGGACGTGATGCCTCACCTAGCGGCTCAACCTTTGGCCTTTACCTCGTTTTGAAATGTCTGAATCCCGAAACTTGCAGTTGAACCTGTTCTCCACTATCGGTAAGCCGCAATGCTAGACTATCCTTGCCCTGCAGAACCTTAGTGAAGAATCGGTCCAGAAATAACTGGAATCAGGTGCCATTTCGGACTGTCCTGCCCCCTATTTGTGGGCCTGTTCTTCATTACTGGACAAGGTGCCATTCCAGACTGTCCTGGTCCTGTACCAGTTATTTGTGGACCTGTTCTTCGCTCCTGGATGAGGTGCCATTCCAGACTGTCCCAGTTCTCTACCAGTTATTTATGGATATGTTCTTCACTACCACACAAACATGTTATCCGGACTGTCCTGATCCTGCAAAACGGAAGTGAAGAACAGGTACACAAATGACTGGAATTAGGTGCCTTTCCAGACTTAAAAGGGCCTTTATCCGATATAGGCCTCAGGCCTTGTAAAAATAAAGCAGCACGGGCCTTGAAAAAGTAAAGCATTGTGAAAAGGTATCTCGTCAGAGCTCAGAAACGTGAAAGCAGGTCAAAGGTCAAGTTCTCTATCAACAGGCATATTTAAAACTAAGACAAAGGGCATTGTCAAAAGACTTACCTGTTCACCAGGAGATGTGTATGTCATGTCTGTTTGGGTAAGGGTGTGTCTGTACGTGCAGGCAGTGTGTCTGTTCGTGCCAAGTAAAGTGTCTGTTCAAGCAGTAAATGTGTCTGTTCGTTGAGAGTTGTGCCTGTCCGAAAGTAAAGTCAATAGGCACAGTCCCAGTTCTGGTCTAAGTCCAGGGGTCAGCCCAGATCCAGACTTTCAAGTCCAAATTCAGGCCGGGAGGCCTCAGCAGCAGTTGAACTTCATTTGGGACTCTACTGGGACACATGCAATGCAGGGTCTGGGACAAAAGGAAGGCTGGATTGA